CTTAGTGCCAGCTATGGTTTAACATCTCCAGGTTTGGGTGTTCCTGTTCCACCTTTGCCTACTGAGCAGGTGCTTGGTAGGAGAAAGGACGTGAATCTTAACCATGGGACTCAGACTGTCAACTGTGTACTGCTGTGAAGGAACTCAGATGTGAGAATACACTTCAATAACAGATAAACAGAGCTATTATAAAATTGATTACTGAAGCCACTTTTTTTCCAAGGCCAACTTATTAGAAGTTCGTACAGATTGTGGCGCTAAACAGGCAATTTCCATCGATAACGTGACTGTACAGCATTGTAGAAGAAACATTTTTTGTGGCTTTGGAGAAAGCACAACGCAAAAATACACATTTGACTGTTGATACACGTGTACCCTGAACCAACCACGGACTGCCTGTCAGCGATGGCCCCCTGGATATCTTTGAGATGCTGCACCAGCAGACGTCCCCTTCGGGAAAACAGGCAGCTCCCTCCCACTGGCTTTGCTAAAACTTCTGCAGTAGGAAGTGTACTACAAGAACCAAGTTACCAAATTGATGTGTGGCTTTCCCTTAATCCCCTCACCCCTGGCTTTCCATGTTTTACATATATTTTAAAAGTAATGGTCCAGGATTTTGAGCACAGGAGCACTGACAACAGGCTGGCAGGTACTTAAGAGATTTTCTGGCTCATTCTGCTAAGGCCCATCAAATTCTTTAGGAACTGCAGCATTCAAACCATCTTCCCCAGGATCACTTGAAGCAGGAAATAGCTGCTCAGTGAACCTCTCTTTACCTTTTGTATGTAAAGTGACCTTAAAACAGCAGGAGGTGGAGCAGCATCTTCCTGGGCGGGGAAAATGGGGCTATTCTCAGCTCATTCCAGTGGTCCCAGATGTCTCATGGGTGCAAGATTCTTGTCCTGCAGGTAGAGGCCAGTAGGGAACTGCAGTTCTTAGGTGCTGCCGCGGGTCAGGTCCTTCTGGCTTTGCAGAAGATGTGGGAAGATTTTAGATCAAAGATGTCGCTGTTGCTCTTGGACTGCGAGATGGATGGAATATCTTAGTCTTGAAACGAATTTTCTGCGGAGTGGTGCTCTCAGATCTGAACTCTTTGTCTTGGCCAGTTTAGCAGATCCTTGCTGTAAAGGTTGCTCTGAAGAATTCTTTCTCCTGCCTCTTGATGTGTCAAGCTAAAGACAGATCCATACTGAAGCAGCACCAGATCTGGTGAGTGCTTCAGTTCAGGGTTATTCTTGGCCAGTTACACAACACCAGGCTGATCGGCCCTTTCAGAAACAGCTTGATTTGCCTCTTGTTTTACAGAAGAATGTCCTAATTCAGGACCCCGAAGTGGCACATCTTCCAATAGAATTGCTCCAGCCAGCAAGGGGCAGCTGTGCCTCATGGTAACTCTTGGCTCTGACTCTTGGGGCTCCGACTCTTGGAGATCGTGACGAAAGGTGGCCCCGACTCAATGGCAGAGGAAGCTGAGGTGATCTTCTGGTTAAGCCTTTGCCTTCTGGGCTGGCAGCCTTGCAGTCTTCACCCTGAGAGGGTCTTGTAACCCCCAGTCTCAGAACATGCCCCCCGTCCATCTTTGTAGGCAGTATTTAACAGCCAGAATTGACTAAAACAAATGTAAAGGGGAGAAATCACGACTGTTCTGCTTCAGCTTTGGACAGCTGGGCTTTAGATTCGTGTTTGGAGAATGAGATGTGTTAGCAACAGGTTGTTCTGTGCTTCAGCCGGTGTTAGGATGCGTGTGTCCGAGTGAAATACTTTGTACTTTATAACCAGAAAGTGTCCGTAGGGAGGTGCATTTGCTGGGGTGCACAACAAATCTTGTTCCCTTCTTGCTCTTGGGCAGAGCACAGAGGCAGGTCAGCACGCTGGAAGGTCAGACCAGGGAACAGAAATGTTTCTTCAGTACCAAGAAAGACTAGCTTGGAAAACAAACTAGGCAGGCTTTCATTGTGCTATTTATCTTCCCTTATGGCACTTCTTGGCATTATTTCCTGACCCCTAGCTACTGCATCTGTATTTTTATTTATTTTTTTTTTTTTACAAAATGAATTCAAAATCTCTTAAAGCAAAACTTTACTAGACTTCTGGAGGAAAAAAAATCCCGAAGCGTTTAAAATTCTTATCAGCTTCCATTAGACACCTGCTGAGTGCACCAGAGTTACTCATTTTTATTCAGATTTTCAGGGGTTAGTTCAGCTGATTTCGGTTTAGCACTCAAATTGCCATGTTAACTGGCACCAGTTTAAAAAAAAAAAAAGTTTGAGTTGGCCATTTTCAAAATGAAAGGACACTTATGGAGTTTAGAACTTTCAGAGGGTTTTGAGGGGTTTTTGTTTGGATGGGGGTTTTTGTTTAAAAGTTTTACTTTTTTTCCCCCCATTCCTTAAACAAGATCCGTTCAAATTCTGAGCAGCTCTTGAAGTCTGCTCAGGAATATGGAAGGCAACAAGCAAAACGCTGAGCGGGTTGGGCATTCAGAAGAGCTAAATCTGTGGGGATTTCTTTTTTTTTCCCCCATGGTGGTGGATATAGTAATGTTGCATTAGACAGGTGTCTCTCACTTCCCAGGGAAAAGAAATGCCGACAGCGAATTCCTTCTGATTTGTATTTGAATGCCTCTGCTCAGCGAAGCAGTGGCCCTTAATCTGTTTTAGTGTTGGCCTGTGCAAACTGAAGCAATCGGGTTTGAAACCGAGTTTAACTGTCAGTGGTATTGGCAGCACGTTTGGAAAAATGTTTCTTGTCAAACTTCTACATGAAGAAGCACCAGTAATTTTTAGAAGTAGGTGCATAGGAATCTGTGTGACACAAAGTCTGGCTTTGGAAGTGCTAAAGGTCGAAAGTGAATAGTCCATCGATGCTGAAGAAGGGAAGAAAACCTTGCATTTAACTACTGTTTTTATCTGTTTTTATTCCCTTTGTCAAGCAGTCAAAAACCAATAACTAATATGAGAACCTACCTTTTCCTCTCTTTATTTTAGATTTGGGAAAATTCCCTGCCAAAAAAAAATATCCTGGAAAATTCACTAGTGTTTGTGTGAGTAAAAGGTTCCAACCTTTTATTATTAATTTGTAAGAACTATTTCATTCAGTTTTGTCAAAAAGACTCAGTAATACTTGCACAGAAATGTGCAACATTTTAATGAAAGGGGTCAGAATCACTTTAATTTGAACTTTATCTGGTCTGGTTGCAGGTTTTATGGCATTTCATGTCTTTAAGAAAATAAGAAAGTATCTGACTTCACAGTAAAAAAAAAAAACAAAACAAAACAACTGCTTGTGGCTAAATAAAATCAGTTGCAGCTCTAGTGACACCAAAAAAAGTGTTGAATTGGACCTAAGCCATCTTTTCAAACCTTCTGTGATCTTGCAGTCATGGATAATGATGGATATACGGATTAGGGAACAGCCTATGATGGCAAACTTGTAGTATTTGCTGTGATGTAAAAAGAAAACAAATTCTTTCCGAAAAATCCGAGTAATTAAAAATTGTTGGTCTCATGCAGCCATGCCACTTGCAAAGTGAGCATTTCCCTGCCTCTCAAAGCTTGCTGTATCCTCGAGCTGCTGTCTTCCTGCTGTTAATGGATTGCAACTCTGTCTGATCAGGGCTAAAAGTTGTTCTCGATACGGATCTCGTACAACATATACTGTGCACGCCTGTGTGTATAGATATGTTTCTCCTGTATGCATGTACATATGTATGCATATCTGTGTGCTGCCCCCGAGTCACTCATGTTACAAAGCATCAGCCTTGAAGGCATATTCATCAAAATATTCTGTAGATCTTTCATTTTTTGCCAGTTCCCTCAAAATGAGAGGCTTTGTATGCAGTCTTCTGTGGCAAATAGCCCCGAGTTCTGGTTTTTACTATGACTTGCTGACTTTATTGTTACTCGCTCTTGGCGTGTGTATAAACACATATGTGTATGCACATACATATTTGTGTATTTATACACACAAGTTTGTTTTTGCTGTACAGGTAATAAAGATGGGGGAAGGTTTTTGTGTTTTCTTAATAGGTGAAGAAATCTTGAAGACCAGAAATTGCAACTTACTGAATTTTAAATTTAAAAAAAAAAAAAAAAAAAAAAAAAATTAAAATGGCCCGGCTGTGGAAGATGGATCCTCATTTTTGCAGCCACTTTGAATCACAAGTTCATCTTTAAGTGCACTGGGTTTTCTTTTTGGTTTTTTTTTTTTGTTTTTTGTTTTTTTTTTTGGAAGAGCTAACTAACCCTGGCTGTCTCCAGTCTGACAGTATTCAAATGGACTTGCTTCCTCCATTAGTTGTAAGATGTTTAAAAGCACATCCCATGTTTGAATTGTGGATGAGAGGTTCCCTTGGCAATGTGAGGAGGAAAATTCTTTCTACCCCTTTATTATTAATTCACGGATTCAGTGTTGGTTCGGCCTACAGGAGAAGTTAACTGGAAGTCTTTGAAGATCAATATCTTTGCTGAAGTTGTCCAGGTACGTGAACTTGAAGATCCATGGTGATTGGAAAATAATGTTTAATATGTCCGTGGTGTTTTATAGAAATGTTTAGTACCCACAGCTAATAATTGACTGAGAACTGAAATGTGTGACCAGTTGTTTAAGACGTGGCTCTCTTGTTGGGCTTACAGCCGCGCGCAGCAGCTGTTCCTGTGCTCCAAGGTGTGTGACTATGACTCAGCACACGGAAGAGAGCGCTTGCTGACAAAGCCCGCGTGGTTTTACGGAAGTTTGTCTTAGTATTGGGATAGTTTTTGCGACCAGCTGATTTTAAGACATTGCCCCCCTCAAGAGACTGATTTGATGTACAGAAAGTAGCTGTAAAAAACTCACATTACTTAATGATTTTTCATTTATTGATGCCTTTCTTTAGGGTTACTTTTAAAAAGAAGATTTCACTGATAAAGCCAGTAGAAGACTTTCAGTCCAAGAAGGAGTGAAGCCAGCTCTTGCCAAGACTGGAGGAAGTCCCTGTTGAGCAAACCCTTAGAACCTGAGCTTGTTCTAAGAGTTTGTCCATGATGGCTAACCGAGGAAATGACTGCTACTTCTATTTCTATTCCACGTGTAACAAGGTACGTTTGGGTTTCTTTTGCTTTGGGGTTTGTGGAGTTTTTTTTTTCCTTTTTAGTTTCTAAGAGAGGAGCGGGAAGAGTAGGAGGAGGCATACAGAGTTCTGTTAACTTAATAAGCAGTTAGATTCTGCTTCTGATAGCACGGGCATTTTTTTAGGCTGTACTGTTTTATTTTCCTTTTTCTTGATTTCCTTTTGGTTACAGGGAGACAGCTGTTCCTTCCGCCACTGTGAAGCTGCTCTGGGAAGTGAGACAGTCTGCACGCTCTGGCAGGAGGGCCGCTGTTTCAGGCATATCTGCAGATTCAGACACATGGAAATCAACGTGAGTGTTTGCCTGAGGATCTGTTCTCAAACTAAATCACTGAAAGCATTTTCCATTGCTGTAGGTGGACTGAACGTGCTTTTACCCCAGGGCTTTAAAATGATAGCGGTGTCTGTTACTAGGAGGGCTGTGAGAGGAAGTTGGGGGAAGAAAAATCAATCTTGGGTATATCTCAGCAAGGAATTTTTGGTTTAGGTGCTGCCGTTATTTTCTTAACAGCGGCAAAAGCAACCACGTTGATCAGCCTGCTTAAATGTGCTGGAGCAGGGTGGTAGTGAACAGCCTGCACTGGCCTCGGAGGGCTTGATAATGGCCTCTTCTGGCCTGGGTGTCTTCAGATAACGTTGTTCTGACCTCTGGGAGTAGTGCAGGGTGGGGAGAGAAAAGATGGGAAGGAGCTAAGGCTCTGAAAGATAAATTCAGATAGATTTAACCTAGGCAATTTAAGATGTTTTTCCCTCTGCATAATCCCAGTATTTTGCATGTGGTATTAGTTTCAGCCACCCTGAATTGATGTGGGAGAGTGCCTGTCTTGTCAAACTGAGTGACGGGAAAGCTATAGAATACGTAGTTGTTGCAGCTTACACTTTGTGTGTATGCCCTGAAATCCTTCTAGTGATAAGCTGGATGATGTTTCAGCGTTGCACAGCAATAGTGCTGTCTCTGGCACGATGTGAAACTATGGCCCTTTACAGCTCTAGGGTGAGTGTTGCCATGAGCTTTTGTTTCTTTCTGTCTTCAGAAAAAGCGCAGTGAGATTCCTTGCTACTGGGAGAATCAGCCAGGAGGCTGTCAAAAATCCAACTGTGCTTTTCATCACACCAAAGGACGTTACGTGGATGGACTGTTCTTACCGCCAAGCAAAAGTGAGTTTCTTGGGTCCTCTAAGTATTAAATGATTAATTTTGAATATTACTTAGGAGTGGGTATGATACTGTAGAAGACATCAAGTAACTCTTCCTTTATGAGTGCAGGGAGAAGTCTGTAGTCATAGGCTCTCAGGTAAAGAGGATGTATTTAATTTTCTCTGTGCTTTTTGTGATCTTTGCTTTTCAGGTTGCTCATTTAATCCTTTCTGGGTGGTGGGGTGGTGAGATTTGTGTGTGAAGGGAAGCCATTGTTCATAGTGTAACCAGGGGTGGGGAATAGGAAACTAAATTCAGTAGCCAGGTGGGTTATCTACCTTACCTACTGCAGTGAGTGCAGTATGTGGGTCAGTATTTTAATTGGCCAAGTTACAGATGATCCTTCTCCTCTAGCTGCGCTTCCAAGTCCGCCTGAGTCTGCAGAAGATGATGCGAAAATGGCTCAGATGCAGCAAAACAAACTTTCTGTCCAGTCAAATCCGTCTCCACAGCTGAGGGGGGTGATGAAAGTGGAAAACTCTGAAAACGTCCCAAGTCCTACACATCCTCCGGTTGTAATCAATGCTGCAGATGATGATGAAGATGATGATGGTGAGCATTTTTTACCGATTGAAGACGTTTCTGCCATAAGTGAATGTGTAAATCACAGAGTACCTGAACTGTGTAGTGGTTAAAGCTACAGACAAGAGTCTGGAGTCCTGAATTTTTTTTTCAGAGTATAGCTCTTTTACTTATATGAGTTTGTCAAGTCAATATAGCTGTTTAAAAAAAAAAAATAGATTGTGTTTGTAGTTAAGAATACGAACAGAATATGAACCGTGGACTGAAATGTCATTGTATGAGCTGCCTAAACGTGGAAAATCTTGTCTAATCTCTAGTCCATAATTGAATGGGTTTATTTTTGCCTTTCAGACCAGCTTTCTGAAGAAGGAGATGAAGCTAAAACACCTGTCCAGCCGCCAGCCACAGAAACCCATAATGGGTTGCGGATAATTTCCACTAGGAAATCCAACGCTAATACAAAGCAAGGTATTCTGACAGCTGTAGGATGGATTGGAAGGACAATTTGACAATTGACTCGAAAGCAATATATTCTAAAAATACAACAGAACATAGAGTAGCTGGATGGAGTCAGTTATTTCCATGAGCTCACTCCTGTCTAATAGTGTTGAATGTCCCTTGGGTCAGACAGGTAAACTCCTCCTTGTTTACTTTTGTAGAACAAACAGAGCCACAAAGTGGAGTTTAAATGCCTGCAGATGTGTCCATTCCAACATGGTGGAAAGTCACATCTAATGCTAGAGGAATCCAGTATCATATAGATGGATTAAAATGCCTAAAGCTACAGGACTTACCCTGTGGGGTGGGAGGAGTGGTGGAGAAATTGCCAATTGCTTACCAAAATACCATCCAGTCTGTGGCTTTTTTTTACTTGTGGGGAGTGTTGACAGGGTTTACTTGAAATGCTTTGGAAAGATTCAGAGCTGTAAGAAGCTTGAGGATCTGGGCTCTTCAGCACGTGCCTTTTAAGCCTCAGTTTCTTTAACCGTTTTGTGTTTTCAGATGACAATTTAAATTTCGGAATAAAAACACTTGAAGAAATCAAATTGAAGAAACTGAAGGAGAAAACAAAAAAACAAGGTGGTGAGTTAATGTCCCCTGCTGTCTTATCCTTCTGCCTTCTGTTCATCTTCGTCCTTTTTATTTTGTTTTTTTTTTAATCCTTCTGATACTACCTGGATAGCAGCAGTGAGTACAGTTATTTGCAAAGGAAGGGATTATTTCTTTTTTTGAGCTATTGAGTTCAGACTGGGAGGTGATTGCAGCTGAGAGCTGCTTGAGGGACAGACTTTCATGTTGAGCTGGGAGCCTTGAGCTACTTTGGCGTGCAGCCTGTTTTCTGAAGCTCGAGCAGCTGGTATGCTCGATTGGAATTCCAAGGGCAAATCCGAGGGAAATTGCCTCTCTCTTATTTACATGCACCGGTCGTTGTATGTTTGACAGTGATGAATAACAAATGGCTTTGGTCTTCGTGATAGTTCTTCTGTTCTGTTTGCTTTTGGGTTGTTTTCCTAAACATCCTTATGGTTCGCTTGCTCTGATCAGAAGGTCCTTCAGGAGTTTCTGTTCATCCGCTCCAATCTCGGACTGTTCCTGTGCCAGAAAAGGAAAATGTACGGACAGTAGTGAGAACTGTGACTCTGCCTCCAAAGCAAGGTAACAGTGAATACTGTTGTTCCCATTCCATGGCTCCAAGCCAAAGGGTTAAGTAACAGTTAAGATAATTCAGACATGTTAGTCTGCTCGTGCTGCATTTTCTAATTAGAACTGTGCTTTTATGCTTAAAGGCCCCGGTCGTATTGGAAAGATTTGGCATTTGTAGGTGCTCCGTTTGTTGTATTGCAGTACAAGATCAGGAAGTGGTTTTTATCAGCCTGACATTCAGCCAGAGGTGATCCTATATCATCCCCCTCCTACAGACTCTCCAGTGTGCTTAATTTGACTTTTGTGTTTCTGAAGTTGAGCGAGATTTGTGAACGAGCTAATGTTTTGACAGTCTGTGATGCAATTAGTGTTTGGGTTAAGTGTGGTAGCAGCAGAGGGAGAGGCTGAAGTCAAAACAGTTTGTCAGTATGTAAAGAAGGGGATAACTGACAAACAGGGGAGTAATGAAAGGGAAGGTGGTCTTGTGCAAGTAGCCAGTTTTTGAAGCATTGGAGGGGCTGACAGTGGCAGTTGTGGAGTGTGATATGAGCCTGTGTATAAATGGTGGTGTTTAGATCTGCACAAATGCCTTTTAAAGGCAAAAAAATGTGTAGAACAACTTTGACTCGTGGTCGTTCATTTATGTGGTGTGGCTACCGACAGTGTCTGGTTTGGGGACATGGGCTCGAAGGACAGTACTTTTACTGGCTGCTGGTTTCTGTGCACTGAAGAGACTGGTCTTTGTTTTAGGGGAGAAGCCTGTGGTTCGACTGAATGTTGCTGATAGACTGGGAGAATGGAAAACCGCCTTGGGTAAGGGCTTTTTGTGAGCTGTTGTTTGGGTGCCCTCATCTAACCGTGACTGTACTTGAGGGTATTTTTGCTGTGTGCGGGAGGACAATACGTTGTGACAGAGATCTGTGAAATCCTTCTCCAGAGAGAGGTTCTTAAAGTATTCCTTCTTTTCTCTCTTCCTGAAGCTGCTAAAACCGACCTTCCACTGAAGCGCAGCATTGTTGAAAGGCTGGGGAAGAAAACGGAGACTCTGGAGAATGCTGACAAAGCACCAAAGAGAGGTACAGCTACTGAACAGGCATCGGGATTTGATGCACAGATTTTCTGTTTAGGTTTTCTGTTTGTCCTTTCTTCTAATGGTTCTTTTTTTTTTTTTTTTTTGCGTGTTGGTTGAGGGCTCAAGGGAACTTTGAATCCCAGTGAAACGATCTCCTGTCTCAGTTTGAAATGTGAACACGAAACGGAGATTTACGCAGTCTCCCTAACTGTTTCTGTTCTGTCTTGTAGTTCAAGTCCCCAGGTCTCTGAAGGAGAGGCTAGGATTGTCCTCTGAACAGACAGGTAGTAACTGGATATTAAATACACCTTCCCCTTTTTCCTTGCCCTGAACTTCCATATGGCCCTAAAAGTTAATTTTAAAAACCTGCCTGATTCCTCTTGCTCGAGCGCTGAAGCTGTCCTGACAGCCGCTGTCAGAGGCCTGGCTCTAGGTGTGGGTGGTGTTTTCCACTTGTGCCTCACCGAGGTTTCACACCTCTGCTGTGAACAGGCAGAAGCTGCGCTGTGCTTACGCACAAGTAGAACAGAACCACTGCCAGGAGCAGGAGTTTGAGAGGCTGATGGAAAGATGCGGCCTGAGAAAGAAACAAGATAAAACAGACTCATGTTTTTTTGTGTAGCAGCTCTCTCTGGGTAGCACTGGTGTTCAAAATACTTAAAGGAGGAGGAGAGCATTATGTGGAATGATGCTGTCCAAAGGTGCATGCTTGGGAACACTCAAACCTAGTTTTCCTTAGTGCTGTGACTGATTTTGAAGATTTTAAATACTGGACTTGCCTTAAATGTTGGTGCTTCTCTTTTTTTGGTGATGACAGAGAAGGCTGCTAAGCCAACAGGAGAAATCCATGTGAAAACACTGGAGGAAATTCGACGTGAGAGAGCTAATCGTAAACGGGGAGAACCTCAAGCTAAACCCCAGACTGAAGGAAACTGTAAAACAGAAAATCCCGGCTTGGGGGCAAAACCTTCACCTGCAGTTGGCGTCAAAACTTTCTCAGGAGCCCTGGCTGAAAAAAACCACAAGCGATTGGAAGAAGAGAAACAAAAACCAGAAGAGTTTCCTACCAAGCCAAAAGTCGAGAGCGAGCCCAAGAAGCGGCCCATACTCGCTCCCTCTGCCTTCAGCAAAGCGCAGCTGGCAGAGCCGGTGGGGAAAGCCAAGCCGGCAGGAGAAGTGCGGATTAAAACCTTGGAAGAAATCAAGCAGGAGAAAGCTCTGCGCCTGCAGCAGAGTGGGGAAAACGTGCCAGCTCCTCCGGCACAACCAGAACCTGCCCCCACAGGGAGGAGGTTGTTACGGGTCACCAAGCTGATAGGTAATCAGATGATTTGGTACCTGCCCCGGTGAAGGGCTTTCTCCTGTCGAGCAAATTCGGTTTGTTCAGGATTTGCCTTGCATTTTTCTTCTCTGAGGATAAAAGAGTTTAAGGCTACAAAGTCAAAAGGCAAGGAAGTGCCAGAATACACAACCATATTATTATCCATGAATTACATGATAGTTCTCTGTATTTCCCGCTGGAAAATTCATTGATTTGAGGAGCTTTGCAGTCTAATTTCTGGCTATTTCTGCCATCTCTTTGTGGTATGGGATCTTCCCTGTGCTGAATCCAAGTTTACCTTCCTCGTTGGCACATGAGTTGTTTAACTTCGTTGTTGACGTGTATGTGTTTGCAAAGCCTGTATCGGCTTCTTAATGCGAGAGCTAGTTTTTTGCCAAAAAGGACAGAGCAGTAAAGATCTCATTGTTAAGATTATGTAAGCCATGTAAAAAGAGAGCGTGATTG